CAAGATCTTGCAAATTCTGTGGTTGGTTCTGGAGAGTGCGCAGACTTCTGCCAAGAGCATCCCAGACGTGTTCGATGGGATTGAGGTCGGGAGACCTTGACGGCCAGTCCATGACGTTGACTCCCGCATTCTGAAGGAAATTCCTTGTCAAAATTGATGTGTGGGGTCTGGCATTGATCGTGTTGGAAGATCAAACCAGGTCCATGTGCTGCCATAAAAGGCAGAAGTTCTGGTGCAAGTACCTGGTCGCGGAAAGCAGCAGCGTTGAGGTTGCCACGGATGACAAGAAGCCTGGAACGTGGATTGCCACAGAAAGCACCCCACACCATGACACTTCCGCCTCCAAATCTGTCAACTTCCTGTACACAACACTGGGCGTAACGTTCATGACGGCGCCTCCACACCCCCGCCCTACCATCAGCAAATCTAAGATTAAATCGGGATTCATCACTGAAGACGACTTGATTCCAATTCCTCCGAGTCCATCGTAAGTGTCGCTGTGCCCACAATTGACGTTGACGTCTGTGTAATTGAGTCAGAATCGGCCCGCAGTATGGCCGTCGTGCTTGAAGGTGATCAGTTCTCAGACGGTTTCGAACAGTTTGCGCACTCAGTCTACCCCTAAACAGTTCATTTCTGGTTGGACCGCCTCCGTGGTCTTGTGGTAGAGCGTCCGCCCGGAGAGCGGAAGGTCCAGGGTTCGATCCCGGGCCGCGTCATACAAAAAGACGTTAAAAGATTGTACTTGTTGTTACCCTGTCTGGCGCTCGGCATTAAGGGGCTAAAACAAGGACTGGTCGGCTCGGAGTCAGTATACTGTGTCTGAGTGGGGTATTCATGTTAAACTGCGGCATGGTATCTCAGTGAGCTAGCACTATAAATCGGCATCAGTCCGGACTAGTACAAGCAGCCACACACACACATACACGTGCATGCACGTCGCTATATAAGTGCAATAATCTTGGACGCGACGTTAAACCCAATTTCACCTCACCTCATTTCTGGTTGATGTAGCCGTCAAAAAATCGGTTACGGAGGTGACGTAAGACAATCTGACGATCCTCTGCATGTGACGTCACACGTGGTCGACCTGGCCGAGGGCGATCAGCGGTGGTACCCGTTTGCTGTAGACGCGTCTGTAAATCATAAACAGTCCGTCGACTACAGCCCATCGTCCTTGCGACTTCAGCTGCGGACGTTCCCGTCTGCAACATGCCGATGGCACGTTCACGTTGCACATTTGAAAGGCGTGGCATGACAAATGGCCGTAAAGACTTTTGTTTTCTTGTGCTTTTTTCTTTATTTGTTAATGACTGCTGACATGTATGGCTGAAAACACGTGCGGTATTATGGCCACGTGACCAGTTGCACGTGAAAAACCACTTTTGCAACTATAGTGCTGTGCACGTGATTTTGATCGATTCACGTGCACAAAAACGGGTGTTATCTGAAGAAAATACGTGGCCATTACTGTTTAAATACACAATAAGGGCCCACAATGATAACTGGTCAAAATGGAAAAAAATTAGGATTGTGAAGTTTTTAATTTGGTTCAGTATATATTCTGTTGATGGGGGTAGTCAGTTACGATACCTACGCTGTTGGTTATCATATCATATCATTACAAACCCACCCACAAATCTGTTATGTTGCCTTGGTCACGTCCACGCCTATGCACTATGTCATGTGTAATGAGTAAATCTGGACTCATCTGAAAAAACAAGAGACCATCGACTAAACCCCCATATTTAACGCTCCAAACACCATTGGCGGCTGGCTAGAATCTGTCGATTTGTAGACGGTGGTACATCACATCATTAGCTGTATGCAACTTTCTAATCGCCTGGCCAGTAACTTAAACTCGGAAGTGAACAGCGATTTTAATTATTTGGGCTCTATTTCTTAAAGCCTGGTATCTGATTAATCGATCCTGGAACTGTGCTGTTGACCTTGTGTGGGACGATCATAAACATTTTGTAAAATCTGTTCCAAAGACTGCAAATCAGACTGAGACACATTGAACATATTGGCTCCCATGCATTTTGAAGCATGCCAATATCCCTAAATACAGCGTTCATGGTGTTGCAGACGACGCATTCCAAATCTAATCACACATACTGCATTAAAGCAAGAGTGGAGTGCTGATAGCTCATAGAGATTTGTCAGAGTGTCACTGAAGTGGCAAAATCAAGAATTACCCCCTACCTACGTGCACTAGGAATTGCATGGTTCACGTGAAATCGCTCGGGTGTGTTGGGGTGTTAGTTTTTGGTTCAGAAACCGTTCCATTACCGGCCACTGTTATTTTTCAAAGCTCATCTATCTTCTAGAGACTGATCATACCATTCAAATTTCACGAATCCCTCCCTTTATATTGGATATAATGTATGATAATGAATAATTAACCTAAAATAAATAGGAACATAAGCCTTTGTCCATTAGTCACTAGCAAACAGTGATGATACCAGGTGTTTGCGAAACTGTGAGCCTATCCTACCTCACCGGTGTCACCCGTCACAATCACATGCAAAGGCAAGTCAATTGTTCACCTCAAATACACATGGGAACATAGTACAAGTCAAACTTTGAGGGCATCCATTTCATCTGCACCATTAAACACAAAACATTTGGCTTTGGGGATCGGGTGATAAGGCTAACTTGGTTGATGCATGTCATCGTATCCCAAATGCGTGGATTGATGCTCATGATATCAATCACTGGATTGTCTGGTCCATACTCGATTATTTACAGACCGCCGTCATATAGCTTGGATATTGCTCAGTGCGGCATTAAAAAAACAAATAAACAAACAAAACAATCACAATTCATAAATCAAATAGCGTTTCACACACTCTTTCAGGGAGTAATCTCACGAGTAGACAACTTAAGACATCTTCTGCGTTTTCACTAATTCTTAGCAAAGGGTGTGGACACGCTAATCATACGAACGAGCAGACAGAAAAGTCCCGTAATGTGTTTATGAAAATCCGAGGTGGAAGTGGGTAGGCAAGGCGCAGGCCTGAGTGTTGAAATTGCCCACCGCGACAAAAACTAGTTTAACCCCAGTTGCCGATGTCTTCGTTTTGGTGACGTTTTCTGTGATTAAGTATTGATATCCGTTCCCTAGACTTGTCCTTCAATGAGATCATCACAAGCTTGTGGTGAGGTGGAATGGGGTTTAAGGTCGCGTTCAAGATTATTGCACTCATATAGCGACGAACATGCACGTGCCGGGTGCCAGCCATGGTAACAAGTTCCATCTTTTAACTTCTTTGGTATGATGCGGCCGAGGGTCGACCCATCGATCATTAGCTCTCTGAGCAGAAGCTTTATCCACTGGACCACTTGGTGTGGGAGGTAGTTATGTAAAAAATGGACAAGAGAGAGCAACGCATGTAAATACAATCATACATGTTACACGTTGGACTATACACGTTGTTTGATTAATTCAGTTCTTTTGGATGATGCATTTTTTTAAATATACGTGGATATAGATTTAATATACTACAGATTCGTGTTTTGTCGTCAGAATAACTACAAAAGCGTTTATCGGTGACATTGCTATTAAATAATCGTTGATACTTTTCTTTCGAAGATAATTGTAAAATGGACAGACAAACACAAAATGAATTTCATTTTCTGTCTCTGCATTACACAATAGACAAATTCTTTTCAATTTTTCAATGGACAGTTTTCTTCCTTCATGTACAAATAGGTCTAGTAAACCAAGTCGAAATTTAATGTTTTCTTATATTTTTACGCAGTGAGTACTGATAAATATATTTTTGGTCGAAGTAAAGTCTTGACAGTTTTGTAATATTCATAACGTGAACTATCCTAATTGACTAACTTGACTTGACTAACTGGCCATCGAATGACAACTTTATAGTTTTTTTTCCAAATTTACTGATAATTTCCATTCTTTCGTGAATGTACTTAAAATATTTAATTGTCATTGTAGACTAACAACAGTATCTGACACTAAAATGACATCGTCTAAGTAATCTATCAAATCTGGAAACATTTAGATACCATGTTTACCAATGGAAGCTATTTCATAACATAATTCATTAACGAAAATGAAAATAAGATAGCGGACCCAAACTACAGCATTGTCTTAGGCCCAAGGGACAATCAAAGAAACCAGTTACACCATCCCCACAACGAACACATGATCTCACATTATATTACATTGATTTAAGACTAGTAGGCATTTTCCTCTGTAAACCAGCTTTTCGACAAGTCCATAGCTTAAATGCTCATTAATGAAATACCTCTTTAGGGTCACTCCTGTCTCTCTTTTTTATGCAGGGGAATTATTATAGAACATGACCAAATGCTAGGGAAAACCCCGGTTTCAAATTACTTATCAAAATATTTGCAAAGAAAATTCCAGAACGCAGGAAGAAATATTGCGAAAGTAGGAATAAATATAAAAATTGCTGTCGGAAATACAAATTTGGTATGCGTAGACATAGACAAGACAAACTGTAAACGTTGTTAATAGACTTTTTTCAGTTTGCCTTGCCTATGTCTACGCATATCAATTTTTTAAATATTTATTCCTACTTTCGCAATATGTCTTTCAGTCAAAACTAGTACAAGTAGTTCTAAGTCTTACAATTCTACACCATAAAATAAATAAGTATTTTATGGTCTCACCTGCAATCAAGATTGACGTTACGTTCTGTCACCTGACTTAGGAACTGAATCGTATGACGTGCTATGTTTTTGTTTATATCAGGTTAAAGTTCTAGCTGCAAAATACTGTAAAACAAGTTTATGAACAGGAAACAAGGTGTGTTCCCTCCTTAGCAGCTTTAGCACACCCGAAAGGAAGGTGCAATTACAAACACAAAATAGTGCGACATTGGACAGAATGTTCAGAGTTTGAATAATGATTGAATTTATGCACTCGGGGAGCCTTATTCATGTATGTTAATTACTGAAGAGAACATGTCGCGAATCTGCTGATATTTTTAAACTCGAGCAAACGTACGTGTCACCCGCGAAGCGCAAGAATACATAAACAAACCCCAAAGCTCTGAACACGCTGGGTTTGAAAATTTTACCCTGTCTGTACGATTTGACAAGAGGGTAGCGTCGGAATCGCAGCAAGGATACTAGTATTGGCAAAATCTTACCGGTGAAAGAGTGAGTAGGTTTATGCAGTTGTGCGTGTGCCACCAATAACAAACCGAGAAGCATGTGCTTGCAACTTCCACGCTGTTGTTTCCTGTTCACCGGTTTATAATCACCGTGTTTTATGTTTACAGGACGGGGATTCAGGGCTAATGTTCAAGTTTTTCAAGAAGCATCCTCCTAAGGAGGGCGAAGGGAGAGAAAGATTAAAGAAAGAACTATTTGATTATAGGAAGGTATGGCAATCAATTTCATTGCATATTTATTTGTATGATTTGTCAAAGCTGTGCAGCCATGTTGGATTTTACGACAGATGACTCATTCAAAACATTCCGCGGTCTAGACGTAGACGCATGTCCAGGTGGCTGGCAGCGTAATCATGTGTGTCGGCAAACGTTTTGGCGATATTTCCTCCATGTGTGCACTAAAACTAGGCTTTCGTTGACGTGAAATACCTGTCAGTGTATCAACGGAATAAATATACATTGACTGTGACACTGATAGATCTAATTATGCTTTCACTTTTGTCATACGACATGTCAATTCTTACGTGTAGGCCTAAACACTTCCGGCATCCTAGAAATAGCCGACTGAGAAAGCTAGCCGATTCGAATCTAGTTGGCTTATGTGCCAACAGTTTTTTACTGACAGATGTGAGGGGTCCAACAGTGAAGATCGGATCCTGCGACCACCTTGCGATGGCTGGTAACATAATATAATTTCAATGGTTACAAAGTAATTACGGTAGTCATTTCACATTATTCCAGGAATGTATAGGCCTATCTTCTAACAAATGAGTGTGTGAGGTGTTTACTCTACAATGTCACCAAAAGAGAGGCACAAGAATGTGAACAGTATCAATTACGAAATATGTGAGTGCGCTTTTCATCTGCACATAATGTCAGAGGCAATATAAAGCAATTCTTTGAGTGGAACCTTAATTAGAATTAAACTATATTTTATTTTGATAACTTCAATGTACAGGTGAAACATTCCCCCACCCCCATGAAAATGTATCCACAAATTCATAAACAAAGATTGTTCCTTTAACGTTTGTTAATCCAAGTGAATGTACTGCTAGTGCTAGTGTCTGATTTAGAAATAACAATTGACATGTAAAAAAAGGGTATAGGGAAACATGACTAAGAGAAGATTCATAGTATATGCTCTTTGTCATTCTATAATTAGGCAATGTATCATTTCACGACGCCCTATGTCTTCTGGGAAATTATGATATATTTATAAAACAAAAATGCTCATTTCAAGGGTGACATGTAAATGCCTCCATTTGTATTGTCTTGAAGCTTCAATTTACAGAACAATTCTTTTTTATTTTTTAATTTGATATTTTTTGCCATTCTTTATCATGTTTATTATATATTTGCATGATTTTCAAGAGAACCGATTTTGATTTACTTTTGAATGTCGCCGTTGTGGACGTTTCTCCATGTTTCCATTTGCGTTAATTGGTTCAGAATTGCATCCACCATTACCATTATTGTTTAATAGTTTTAACGTTACTTTCATCATTGTTTTCCCTCACAAAGTAAAGTACTTTGGCATGTAAAGTAACAGTCGATAGGTCCGAAGTTTGTGTTCTTGATATGCTGCACACAGTATGATAATTTAGCGTAACCGAATTCTTGCACCACTGCATGGAGCTATTGAATGTTCATGGACACAGATGATAAATACGAGTAACGATAGTGTCATTGCAATTAGGAAACTGGTAACTGAAAAATCTATGGAGCAAATGTAAAGTTAATTAATAGTGAAGAGAAACATTAGGGTCGGAAGCATTTTATAGGGTAGGTCGGATAATCAGAACCATAAGGAGAACAGTAAATATTAAGATGTCAGAGCTAGCATGGTCACTCATTTTGTAGTCCTGGATGGGTACACAGGGCAGATATCATGAGGTAAAAATCACTACCACATTTCCACTGTTTTGTCAATTTCAAAGGGAAATGATAAATAACAAAAACTGTTGTATAATTTTATCACCAAATATACAAGTACACAAAAAACATTGCAATACATATCTTTTGAAAAGCGCATTGTGGTATACGGGTAATGCCGTGTAGTCCTAACCACCAGACTATATTTAATTGATTAAACTTTGTAATTCCTTGATTCATCAGCACAAAGCTAATCACTCATGTCCCCTCCAACCTGAAAATCAAGCTACTTGTCAAATTGACAACAGTACATCAACATACTACTCACACCACATTTATTCATTTGAAACATTTTAGTTTCACTTGCCTGTGAATTTTTATATGAAATTAGACTTTTCAGATGCAGTATCGAGTTAATTGATACATTCTTTAGGTTCTTCCGTCACCGTCTTTAGTCATGTTAATTGGCAAATTTGCAAGTGTAATCATAGTACTGTGATTTAAATAGTGGTGAGCGTAAATATTTTACTTTGATCCCAATGAGAGTTTGTCCTCATCATACTCATTGCTTATAGATATTTTATGAATGTTCATGTTTCATAAAGATAAGAAATTAACATATTTCAAAGTTAAACTCTAGTAATGTACAGTTTTTCTGTATTGTAGGGAAATAGTTTAATAAGGAGTGTTCATTTTCTGTGGTGTAAGAACAATACTACCTAAGCAAAAATAAAAACTTTATCTTAAATACATGCTATGGAATCCCCAAATCAAGATTTGTACTATTTGTCACGATCAAATTAACCTTGCATGAGACCATGCTAACCCTTGTAGGTGTTCCCATTAATATTCACCCAAACAAGTGGTATAATAGTCATATGATCTGTTGTCAACACATCAAGAACTTGGCAGATGATACTTCGAATTTATGGAAATAGTAAATATTAAATGGAAATTATCTGGCAATAATGACTTTCCTGATGAATGTGTGTATTGTTAATGGGTTGCATAATCTGTATTCCGAAATCATGTTTTGAGCACATAATAATAAGACCAAGTGTGGCGTGAGATGCAAATACACACACAATAACCAAGCAATGTTGTTAAATAGTGCACTTATTGAAAGCACTGAATTCACCTTACATTGAGATACATGTATTGTTCTAAAAATTGTTATGAGGCAACTTTGTACATGAACTTTCGACTGATGTGATTCACTTCTTGGTAAGACTATTCCCAACTGAAAATGTTTCGGCAATGGCAGGCACTACAAGCAAATTGAAGGCAACAGACGCAAAATGGTCAATTTCACAACTTCAATTTGCTGTAAGGCTTGGCAGTTCTCAGCTGTGCTAGTCTTTGTTATTATCAAATCTGATCAACTGACATTATCTTAACCCTCACTGTGCCTGGTCTTCTGCCTGCTTGTACACGGTTTGTTTGTTGTTTAACACAGCACTCAGCAATATTCCAGCTATATGACGGCAGTCTGTAAATAATGGAGTCTGAACCAGACAGTCCAGTGATAGACTTCATGAGCATCGATCCACACAATGGGGATAGGATGACATGCATCAACCAAGTCAGCGAGTATGACCACCCTACCTGTTAGTTGCGACTTATGACAAGCATAGTTGCCTTTTATGGCAAGAATGGGTTGCTGAAGAGCAGTTCTACCCTGGATCTTCACAGGTCACTTGTACACAGCTGAGTGCAACACTGTTGTGACATGGTCTGAAAAATGTATGCTGGTCACCGATCAGTTCTTACCATTTTATTAATGTTATTTCTGAAGTATTTCATGTACAAAGTTGACTGTGGCCATAACTTTGATCTTTGTGAAACTATGAGCTTATGCGCTTAGTTCAGTCTGTGGAAAAAGCTTCAGTAGATTTGTTATAACGCGACAATAGGGAGTCAAAGCAGTGGATGTAGAAGTTTCCTGTAGAGCAACTGTGCCAGTTATCGCCATCGTCGAAACATGCCACTTGATCATGTGCACCACTTCAGTTATACAGATTACATTTTCTATTTTCTCTGGTATCGCACTATTTTTATATTCATTACAATAAATACAAAATGTTTTAATCAATTTGTTGTCTGCAATGGTCCCCAAATTCGAATTGTTTGTGTTTACCCTTAACATTATGTACTATGGATTTCGCAATATATATGGAAGTAGTATAGGTAATGGGGGTTCTGCTGCAACTCCACTGGAGACAGATTTATATACCTATACTGCTACTACAGGGGGGAATTTTTTATGTGTAAATGATCATGCGATTCAACGATAGTCATAAGATTAAGTTAAATTGGCTCTAGCTCACAATACCTGGGGCCAATCATTGCTTTAGATAAGCCTAAATGGTAATAAAAATATTCTTTATTATTTTTATCAATAAAGCGATATTCAACATTTTTATTAAGTTCTTTGTTCATTTTACTAGGAGACCAGACTATATAATTACACTCTTCTTGTAAATTGATAAGAAACAATTGATAACCGTATTTGGTTGGTTTGACATCACTGATATAATAAAAACCTTGTGGTAATTCTCTCCATTTAATAGCTTTTTCGATTGTTGTCTCCATTATTATATATATTTATGTAAGCATTTGTCTAAATGTGATCTAACGATAGTAAGCAATCTATTTTTAATCTCCAACCAGTTCTTTGGTTTTGGCACGGAATAATTGACGCGCTTGTTGCCTCCCCTGTTCTATGAACTTTTTTTTCTCGTCTTTGCTAATACCACTGGTCTTATGAGATTTTGATCGAATCTCCTGCTTCATTGCGTTGTATTTGGTGAATTCCGACAGCACTAAACGAAACTCATCCTCGGATATCTTACAATCGACCATTGCTGTCGAAATATGATCCTCAATGCTGTTCAACTTTGCTTCGGCGAGTATCCGAATACTATCGTGCTTTAATGCTTTCTTTTGCAACCTACGAGAAATGAATTTTATCGCTATTCCTGCCAGTCCCGAGACTCCAGCAGCTATTTCCATGCCGAGCATGATAGGCGCGACGATTATTGTTGATAATAAACCAACACCGGCTACACCGAGTCCCATGCCAGCTGCTACAAGCGCGGTGTCAACTCCGTCCAGAGCATTCACGGCTCTGCGATACTTTTTATACAATCCAAGTCTCAACTCCCTATCCTTCTCTATTCGATGTTTTATGTCGCTTATTTGATGTAATCGAAATCCATCAACAGTTTCCATCTTTTCAAATGCTTCATCGAGCGCTGGATATAAACTCATAGTGTATATTACGATCATATAATAGTCTTTAATTGGTCTTGCTTAAATGTTTTGAGAGTATACATCAA